GGGGGGGGGGAAAGAACTAGGTGTTGATGAGCTGGACCGTGACGTCGTCGAAGAAATCTGGCTTGTTGGTGTGCGTCTTTTCCTGTACTGGATCGATTTGAAGCTTTCGTTCCTCTTGGCCCGTGATGGTGGTGTTTCCACCTCTAGCTGCGATCACAGCGTAGGGTACGGGCAATCCATCTTGAGGACAAGCGACAAGGTGCTTTGGCATAAAGCTTCTTGGGCCGAGCACTTTTTGCGGCTGGTTTGCGAATCTGGCCAACAAATGACCGCTCTGACCACTCTTACGCGCGACGTACTGCATATGCACACATCCGGGCTGCGTGGTAAAGTCGAGCAGGATACAGCATCCGCCGAAGCAGACTCGGTACGGATGTTGGAGGTAGGCATCGCGTCGAAGCAAAAATTGTCCCTCTAAACATCATCATCGTCAATCGTTTCGTCCCGACTAGGAAAGGGATGGGAGTTTGGGGACTTACGTTCGTCGGTGGCGGTGTAGGGCGAGGCACGGACGGTGCCTGGATGGATCTGGTCGACGTAGTAGCAGTAGTTGTCCGCCGCATTGCAGTACTGCGACAGCTGCACGGGCGAGTACACTTCCGGCTGGGTCGTGTCGACGGGCAAAGCCGATCCCCCCCACAGCGACACCATCAGCAACACAAGAAAGAGCATCCTGACACTTGACTCGAAGAGTGCCAACCACAAAGGAAAGGAAGGGAAATGGAGAGGAGTGGGAGAGAGGAGAGGATGGAAGTGCTAAAGGGGATGTACAAACGATGTGGGAGGTGTTCAGTCGACCTCGGGACGACCAGCTCCCTGGTCGGCAAAAACCCACCACATTCTCAAGCACACCCAATCATGGCCCCACTGCGCAGTCCTAGCTTGGCAAAGCGGCTTCATTTCGTCGACATTGTGCTGCATCGTGTTGCAATGTGCTGCTCGATGGGTCCACCGCACAATGAAGCCGGGTTTGCTCCCTGCCAAGGAGCGACCAAGCGGCGTGACGATTGATCTGCCGCTCTGCAATGCCTCTGAATGCCAGAGTGCGTGTTGTGGCGGATCCAATGCTACGCGTGACGATCTCTTGTCTGCTCAAGCACAAGCTTGCAAATGAATCGCTTGTCGAACTTGCTTCGTGTGAATCTGTGGGCGGCAAGGCATAACTCACTTTGCCTCTTGGCGTGGCTCCTGCGAAACATCGAGTTAGAAGCGCAAGCCCCACACCTGCTTGCTTTTTGTATCCGACGCCTTTGATCGCAGGCCCCATTTCCGATCGCTCACCCACGCGTGCGACGGATGCTCGTCGTTGCAACTGAGCGCGACTTGTGCATCGTGCGGAGGATTGTGGCGAGTCTTCTGATCCTGCCCGACACGCCACATGCACCCCGAAAGGATGCGCAAGTCTGACTTGACACTACGAAGGCAGCGTTGACTAGACACTGTAGCGTCGCTCCCTTTGTTCGGCCGGTAGCGGGTTTGGCGAGTTGCTCGGGCTCGCCGGCGGGCGGCCGCGTGTGGGGAGAAAAAGACATGGCTGCACGCCGAGGCGCATCGTGCATGCGTCTCTGTCTTTTTTCGACGCGTGGCCAATTTGGCTGGGGCCAAGTGCCTGGTGATGGGCGTTGTTTTGGCGCGTGTTGTTGTACATTTGGACCCTGCACTCCAGGGTCCATCTGCCAGCGCTCGAGTCAAGCAGTGCCGCTCGTGTTGTCATCCTTTCAGCGCTCGCCCCGGCGCGACAAAGCTGAGAGCTGGCAGGACGCGCCAAGGTCATCTGGGCCCCACCATCTCTGTACGCCATGGCGCGAAACATCGTCACAGTGGCGTTGCTCCAAGACGCAGCCGCCTCCACCTCGGCGGTGCTCGACGCACTCGCGGGTGCCTTTTCGTTGGTGGAGCGCACCACGCTGCGCATTACGCTGCCGGACGACGATGCCATGCTGCGCGCGCTGCTCGCACACGAGATCGCCACGCTCGGTGAAGCAGCCGCGCTCGTCCGATGGGCACCCAGCTTCACCGCTGCTCCCTGCTCCCTGCTCGTCCTCGCGCTCACGTCCAACGACGACGCCTGCAAGGTCTTTCTCACCCACCACGCCTCGAGTCTGGACAAGTTCGGACCAATCTACGCATCGCCCACACGAGATGTGGCCCAGATGCAGCGTACCCTGCTCTTTTCTGCGATTGGCTCGGGCAGTAGTGAGGCCGGCAGGTCCAGCTCTACTTCTACACGCGCTACTTCGGTCAGTCGAGCATCGCAGCCCGGCTTCAAGGCGCGTGCGGTTCCATCGAGCGTATCAAGCAAACCGACGATCGAGCCGCGCTTGAGCCGTGCGGCTGCGCTGCGCATGGGGGTTCCGCTACCTACACGCACGCCGAGTCCCACCAAGACCCCCGCGCCCGCATCGGGCATGCCGAGACGCACGGTTCCACCCCCCTCGTCCCTGCGCACCCCCACCATCGCCCCGCGCCTCAACAAGGCCGCCCTCGCCCGCCAGAACCAACCGAGCCAGGCTCGACCATCTACAGCGGGCGAAAGGGTGAGGAGTCAAGTCGACTTTTCGCGCACACCGGGCCACAAACGCGCATCGCTCTCCACGTCGGTCGCCTCGACTGCGCCGCCCGCTATTGTGCCACGCCAGACCAGGGCGAGTCTGAGCAGGCTTTCTACACACCAGCCTGCGGTATCGCCGGGCAGACCGCAGGCTGCCAGGTCGATGAGCGTGGGAGGTCCGCGCGCGCAGGTGGATTTCTCGGCGACTCCCGGTCACAAACGTGCACTGCCCATCGCAGTTGCTTCGCTCAAGCCGCCCACGGTCGTGCCGAGACAGAACCGCGCGTCGCTGGCAAGGACAAGTGCTCCTGCCCAGCACACAGAGTCGCCCCTGCGACGTGCGTAGATGACAATGCCATGTACAGTGTACTGCGCAGAGCGTTGCGACGATTGTTTGTCCCATGTGCATGTGCTTACCGATGCAGAGAGACTGGTGAGAGAGTGTGCAGGCCGGACGTGCGCTTGCTGCCTTTGCGTTTCGAATGCGCCGCAGCGTCAGTCCACGTCCAGGACTGTACGAACAGACGATCGTTGGCAGTGTTTGTGCAGGAGGCTGCGACGAGACAAGCCAGAAGAGCCACGAGAAGACGAGTAGGGGAAAAGACGGGCAGCAAAAGCGCAAAGGTTCGAGCCAAGGCAAGCAAGGCAGACGATGAGAGCCAATTGCAGCCAGCGTCATGCGAGCGCAAAGGTGGGCATTAGGGTAGTCGACGGCAAGGCGGAGCAAGGGGAGCGGACCGATCGTCCAGGGCTCGAGTAGGCCGTAAGACTGCTTGCTACATTGCCAATGGCAAGACCATCGGAGCGCGAGCAAAGACAATGCAAGTCGATCGATGCGAGACCATGTTCAAAATACGTCCCGAGGCAACGATAGCGGCGCGCAGAGCAAAACAACCAGCCACAGACAGTCGGATCAGACAGCTGAAGAGCAACGTGATGGTCGAGATAGGTTGTGCAAAGCCATAGCGAAGACTATCAGCGGAGAGATTCCGCGAGAGATATGGAGCCCAGATATCGAGAGCAAACAGTCATCAAGACGGTACGGGCATGATAACAGTCGATACTCGAGGCAATCTGAACTGTCGCTCCATGGCTTGCTCACCCCAAGACTGCGGCCAGGATTCGACAATGCGGAAGCGCAAGCCTAGCCACCGCGAGACGAGACCGTGCAAGCAAAGCCATCGAGAGCCGAGACATGTATCGGCAAGATTTAGCCCAAGCAAGGCGAGTGCAGCTAGCCAAGCTCACCGACGCAAGATTCAATCATCCACACCACAACACGCCAGGGCGAAACGACTGCGCACAACACCTCTGGTACATCCCGACGGCGCACTAAGACTTGCGCCCCTACCGCTTAAAGCGCAACACTGTTCTAGACCATCTCTCATTCCGCTCTCCCACACCTACCGCACACACATTGCACACCGCGCCACATCGAAAACAAATGGTCCATTGAAAAAGTCGAGACGATAAACCCACGCGCTACGCTCTACGACTCGGCGAGCACCTTCTCAATCTCGCCATTAACGAAGGCCTTCTTGGCCTCGAGCGGCACGCCGTACTTGGCCTCGAGCTTGGCGCGCAGCTGTTTCTTGGTCACCGTCGTCAGATCCGATTCGGCGATAAGGCTTCGGATGTCCGTCCTGATCTGCGACTCTGCGGGCAATCCTGCCTCTGGGCTACCCGACATGCTTGCCTGCGCCGGCTGCACAGCCTGCCCATCCGTGTACCCGCCAAAGCCGAGCTGAGACCCGCCATAGACCGACTGCGTCGGCTGCTGAGGCAGACCGTACATGCTTCCGCCCGCGTACGGCATGAATCCACTGCCCGTCGTCGGCATGCCGTACACAGACCCCGCAGCAGGCATACCGTACATCGACATGGTCTGTCCACCGTAACCCCCAAGGCTGTACGTCGACTGCCGAGCCGCATCCGCCTGCGGGAAGTACCCTACCTGCGAACCCGCTGCGGGGTACGCACCGAACTGCGAAGGCGTACCCCCGAACGACGGCGAGGGGCTGTGTCCAAAGCTACCGTTGTTCGGCAGCACAGGCTGCCCGTACAGGCTCGGAGCATACTGCGACCCGGCGCGCGAGCCCAGCGACTTGTTCTCCGCACGTGCCGCCTCGATGATCGATCCGATCGACCGCGCCGAGTTGCGCTCCCACAGCTCGTTCTCGTAGTCCGTCCACGTCTGCAGCGGAATCTCGCTCGGATCAAACGTGCCCTCTTCGTGCACCACCACCTTCTGTCCCTTTTCGCCCATCACCACCCTCGTGTTGCCCCACGAGAAGTCGTCCATGTGCCAGAACGAATAGAGCGGCAGG